CCTGCCCAGGGAAGAGTCTTGTTGCAGCTTTTCCACTTTCAAACAACAAATCCATTCTAACATTTCTACTGCCTTGAGTTTTCTGACCTCTTCCTTAATATTATAAAGGATAATTTCTGGCATTTACACCGTATCCTCTTCTTTTTTTTTTTTGAGACAGAGTCCCACTATGTCACCCTCAGTAGAGTACCGTGGTGCCCCAGCTCACAACTACCTCAAACTGTTGGGCTTAAGCAATTCTCTTCCCTCAGCTGGGACTACAGGTGCCCGCCACAACGCCCAGCTATTTTGTTGTTCTTGTTGTAGTTGTCATTGTTGTTTACCAGGCCAGGGCTGGATTCAAACCCGCCATCCTCAGTGCATGTGGCTAGTGCCATAACCACTGTACTACAGGCACCGAGTCTACACCTTATCTTCTATATGTAAGGTGACCAGATTTTAACATCAGTTAAGTGAGACACCATTGACGGGGGGTGGGGGGGTGTTTTAATTAAAAATTTAGTCTATATGAAGCAACAAAAATTTTCATAGAACACAAAAATAGTATTGTAATACTTTTTAAAATGTCAACATAAATACAATTTACAAATATAATGCATTAAAAAATTATGTATAGTATTATTTTATTCTTTGGCATATTTCCCATTTGAGTGATTTTTTTTAGTAGATTGCTGTCATTGTTTAAAATGTCATGAAATTTTTCACAAGAATTTGTTAAATTATATTTCACACATAAAATGGCTTTCAAAGTCTCAATACTTAATTGTGATTTTCCTGATGTCCACACTTTATTTACCATGGAAAAAAATGCATTCAGTCTCAGCATTAGTTCCTGGTAAGGACAGCGCGTATCCCACAATTTTTAGTGCATTATTATATGGAACATGGTTTGTATCAAAATGATGAAATATTTCTGACCATTTGTTCTCTATTGTGATTTTTGCTGATGCCCAAGATTTAACCTTTTCCTTATCAATATATTTTTTTAATAATGATACCTCGTAAGTCGTAAGTGCCACTTTCAAGGCCGGCGCTAGACTTTTTGCCGCCACTATAAAATATAAATAATATGAGTACTGTCTGCTAAATTCATGAAATAAATAAATTACTTACCTAAATTATCTGACTAGCGGATTTGTTGCCATCACTTGTTTAACTAGCACTAGCAGGCAGTGGTGAGCAGGCCACTCCCTGTGTTAGGGGAGGAGTTGTAACTTTAAGGGCAGGAAGGGCTTTTTGCGGGGAGGGGCTTTCTGAGGCAATTACCTAACATGTCATGCCTTCTTTCCAAAAACTAGGACTTTTTTAAAATGCTCAGGATGCGTGACAAATTGTTAAAAATCAGGACTGTCCCACCAAAAGCGGAAGTCTGGTCACCTTATCTATATGCCATCCTTGCAGTGTGTGTGTTAAGGCAACTCCAGACATCCTTGACAGGGCGTTAAACCATCTGTCATGAATACTCCCATGCCGCTTTCTCCTGTCAAGCCTTTTTTATATTCCATCCCCAGAGCAGGCCTTTATTCAACACCCGCAACATCTACTCCCAGACATGCTTTCTGGGTTCCTGCCAATACTTTTCAACAAGAACCTGCGGTTCATTAACATTGAAACCTATCCTTCAATTTGGGGGATGCTGAGATCTAATCCTAGTTACTACTACTATGGAGTCAACAAAGAGTAGCAGGGGAAGGTCTTCAGAAGGACACATGGCACCTTTTGTTTGTTTTTGCTTTTGAGACAGAGACTCACTTTGTCGCCCTCAGTAGAGTGCCATGGAGTCATACCTCACAGCAACTTCAAACTCTTGGCCTCAAGCAATCCTCTTCTTATCTCAGCTTCCCCAGTGGCTGGGACTACAGGTGCCTGCCGCAACACCCGGCTATTTTTAGAGACAGGGGTCTCACTATTACTCAGGCTGGTCTCAAACTCCTGAGCTCAAGCAATCCACCCGCCTCAGCCTCCCAGACTGCTAGGATTAGAAGCCTGAGCCAATGCGCCTGGCCACAAATGTTACCTTGTGATGCAGCTGCCACAGATGAAGCACTCAAGACAAGAGCAGGTCATTCTCTAGACAGGAGAATGCTGCTTGAGCCAGCTCAAAGGTTCAAAGGAAACCTGAGGGTTCAATTCTCAGGCTCACCAACACAAATGTTCCAATACCACGACTTAAAGTTCCTTTCTTTTCCTGTCAGCACATTGATTTTTTTGGAGAATATAGAGACTATGCATTCAGTCCCCTTTGCAGCCTTGCCACCTTACTTTTAGATTTCGACCTTATGTCAACAGTTTGCCCTGCATATGTAGGAAATGAATTTCCTTAAAGCGTACTGCAAGGGGACTCTGGCTTTCACAGATGTCTTGAGGTAAGTGGCTAACATGAGCCTCTGTCATTTTTTAAGGCTTCAAAAGTAATAATAGCTAACCCATTCCACTATAATGGTACAGTTACTTCATAACCTAACACTTCATCTCCAAACTGCAGTCATCCAAATCCACAGCAGTAACTCATTCGGTTACAGAATCCCACTCTGAGTGTTTGCTTTCAAAGGTCATTTCTGGCACCAGCCATCTTCCTGGCACCAGCCATCTTATCCTGAGTTTACCCCCTTCCCAAAAGCAAAGCCTGAGACAAATAAGACAAATGTTTTCAAACAGGTATTTATTTGAGAAGCAATATGAGAGAATGAGAGGGAAGGACGGGATAGTGGAAACGGGAAAAAGAGAAAGCGAACATATGAGATGTAACAAATTCACAAACTCAGCATAGAAACAGTGCTACTATATACCTCATTGTTGAATATCACTATGGTCACCTTTGAAGTCTCCCCTTTGGGAAGCTGTGCACCAACACCAGTGCCTAGTCCACCCTTCAAAGCAATTTTGGAACCCCTTTTCCAGAATGGCCATCAGAGCTGTCATCGTATTATCTTTAATTACCTCAATATCATCAAAATGTCTTCCTTTTAGTATTTCCTTTGAGTAATGAAAAAAGTCATTGGGGGCCAGATCAGGTAGCCCTCAATGACTTTTTTCTTTACTCACAAATAGGGAGTATGTTCCAATACAATTACTTATTAACTGGCTAAAAACTCCCTCACAGACAGTGCCATGTGGGCTGGTACATTATTGTGATGCAAGAGTCACACCTTTACCAGGCCAAGATTCTCAGTTAAAGATGCTCCTATTTCTCTGTATGTGTTTACTTGGTCTGCTATGCTTCTCACAGTCAGCCAAAATTTTTGACACATAATTTGATGAATTTTTGCAATGTTTTCATAAATTCTGTTCACTACTGACCACTCTGACCTTTCTTCATCAGTGATGCTTTCTCTCGCCACAGAAAAACATGTAATCCATTTGTACACTACCGTCCTCTTCCTGGTATTATCCCCATAAACTGGGACTAACATGTCCCTGATTTCACTTCCACCTTTGCCAAGTTTCACAAGAAATTTAATGTTTTTTCATTGTTCTAATTCAAGCTCTAACATATACATGACAACACACAAAAACACATAATAATGAACACAACTCAGCAAGATACTGCCACATGTTAACACAAACACAGCTGTGAAACACTGACATACCAAGCTTATGAAACCTTACTATTTATACAGTGCTGTCAACATAAGTGCACCATGACAAGATCCCAAACTTAACTGTCAGACCTCGAAAGGACATATTCTTGAGTTGGCCACTGTTATGGGTATCTGGTACTAAATGCCATGGGATTTTCTGAGGAACCTTATGAAACACATTTTAGAACCATCGTCTCAGCAGACAGAAAGGCAGGCTTCTTATTATCTATTGGCTTCCAAGGATGACCCCAAAATCATTAGCTCCTCCACATCTTTGGGCTGCACATGTATGATACAGTAGGGTTTCAGGGTACATCCCAAGCTGCAGTATCAGAGAATCCCTGCAAAAGCAAGCAAGAAAGCCATGATATGAGCCCAAAACAAAGTGCCATCAAGTGGCTTCCACGTAAAGCTGTCAGAACCCTGCATGGAATTGTTTCAAAGCTGTACTGGATTAAGCGGGGGAGGGACCAAGAAGATCTGAAGTGGCACCTAAGAGGTGCCCAATACAGTTGTAGACTGCGACAATACAACTTAAAAATCTATTGCTGTCACTAGAAAATGGTTGTATAATTTTAAAAGTTTTAATTCAAAAACAAATTAACATTACAAAGTTTGAAAAATTAAAAAAATAGTGATTTTAACTTTTTTTTTCCTTTTGTGTATGTGTGTGTGTGTGTGTGTGTGTGTGTGTGTGAGAAACGGGAGTGCAGTGGTGTCATCATAGTTCACAGCAAACTCAAACTCCTGGCCTGGGTTCAAGCAAATCCTCTCCCGCCTCAGCCTCCCAAGTAGCTGTGGCTACAGGCGCCCAACCACTGTGGAAGACTATGTTTGAATGAAAAAGTGGCCCTTATGTATCTGTTCAAACCCTTGATAACATCCTTAATTTTTAAATAGCCTGAACTAAAAATAACCTCATTTGGCTCTGTGCCTATAGTTCAGCAGCTTAGGGAGCTAGCCACATACACTGGACCTGGAGGGTTGGAATAGAGACCCGGCCTGCCAAACAACAATGACAACTACAACAACACACACATAAAAATAGCCAGGCATTGCAGCAGGCACCTGTAGTCCCAGCTACTTGGGAGGCTAAGGCAAGAGAATTGCTTTAGCCCAAGAATTAGAGGTTGCTATGAGCTGTGACACCATGGCACTCTACCAAGGGTGACATAGTGAGACTCTGTCTCAAAAAAAAAAAAAAAAACACCTCATTTGTCAGGAAAGAGAAAAAGTAATACAAAGTTGTTAATCATGAATTTTGAAAGAAGTAATATAAGACATTTTCACTTATTTCAATAAATTAGGGAAACACCTAAAAAAGACATTTATATAGTAAATAAAGTAAATAATTTGAGAGAAAATAAACTGTATTATTACATTTAAGTAAACATGAAAATTATATGTTTGAATGGTGGGTTAACTTCTCCAGTCGTCTTCATGAATGTTTTGTAGAAGATGGCAATGGAGCTTTTCCTTTCTGCTTAGCACTCTTTTCCATTTTTACCTGCAAATTTAAAATATTGATATAATAATCTTTAAACCATTCTGAAGGAAAAAAAGGTACATCAATCTTATTTAGATTCATGTCTTAATTAACACAGCCTTTCCACACAGTTATTAAGCTGATAAATACTAAAGCCACAATTTGATAAAGGGACTAACGACATATGTTAAAGTGGTTTGATTTTAACTGTACAGAAGCATTTTAATAAAAATAACATAAAAATGAATATTGCTTTAGACAAAAGAATGAATTAATTTAAACTGCTACTAAAATTAAAAATTAATGAAAAGCTGAAAAGCCTATCTATGCACATTTTCTACAAAGTTACAGACTGCACCTCATCACCTGGATTATCTCTGGAACATGGTCATGCTTTAAGGATGCTTTCCTATAATTCTGGTTTCTACATTCCAGTTACCTTCCTAAAGATCTTGCCCTCCTCTATTACAGTTAAAGCAAAGCAGCATCACACATACCCCCAACTATGGCCTTGTAACTTTTTAGACTCCTTATCGTCCTTTTCCACAGGACTAAAGACCCCAGAGAACATAATGCCCACCTGCCTCTTACTCACCACCACTCACATTCACACACACCAATTTCCAGAGGCAGCATCACTGCCTTACCCCTGCAAGAGAAGGTGAGAGAAAAAATAAGGGAAAATGGATAGAGACAGGGCCTCCTACCCTCTAAAGTAACAGGAAGATTAAAAACTAGCAGAGACCTGGTTAAACCAGTCCACTCAATCCTATCAAATGGCAAGTAATAAAAATTCCCAGCAACGTCCAGGTGCAGTGGCTCATGCCTGTAATCCTAGCATTTTGGGAAGATATGGTGGAAGACTCACTTGAGCTTAGGAGTTTGAGACAAGCCTAAGCAAGAGTGAGACCCCATCTCTACTAAAAATAGAAAAACTAACTGGACATTGCCGAGGGCACAGGGAATCCCAGTTACTCAGGAGGCTAAATTCTTTCTCCAATGCAGAAGTTTGAGGTTGCTGTGAGCTACATGGATGCCATGACATTCTAGCCTAGGGCCAACAGAATGAGACTCTGTCTCAAAAAAAAAAAAAATTCCCGGTAATAAAATCAGATTACCCTCTGTCTCTTCCACATTTTCCCCCTCTCTCCTCTTTGAGTTGGTTGGCAACCTGATTAAGAAACACTCATTATCACTCTTGCACACCATAGCCATAAACAGGTCATGTGAAGGATTCTCAAAGAATACCCTATTGTAAGACAAAGATTATAAAGGCTTTAAAGTTAAATAAGGGAGCATTTGAATCCCCCTTCCGCCATTTATCAAGCATCTGAGGCAAGTTAATTGAATCAATTTCTTTTCATTTGTGTGAAAAAGAAAGGTTATAGTAATACCTACTTCTCAGGATCGTTCTAAAGGTATAAGATTACATATTTATATTTATATATACACAAACACACATATATATAGTATATACATATACATATATATATATATGCACTCAAGCACTTAACAAATGCTAGTCCTTTTTCCCCTCTCCTTTAAGACTAAGTATTAGATTTGTAATAACATCAAAAAAGAAAAAAAAAGATACTAAACAACAAGCAAAAGCCAAAGCTGTATTTGCTACTTGCTCATCTGTAATAGCACTTTGCAAATATGTCCTTGCAGGGGTGTCCAACTTGCAGCCTAAAGTCCACATGCAGATTATGTGAGGACTTTTTTTGCTTATCTGTGATGGAGGATATCACAAAATTTATGCATGGAGCTTTTTTTTGGCTCATGAGCTTTTGTTAGTGTTTGTGTATTTAATGTGTGGCCCAAGACAACTATTCTTCCAATATGTGGCAGAGAAGAAAAAGGGTTGGATACTCCTGCTAGTTCTTTTCCTTTTTTTTTTTTTTTTTTTTTTCCCTGGCAGGAACACAGTGTCTTGTACCTAGCAGATCTTTGATACTTCTTTCCTTAATAAAATTCTCCTCTCTTGGGGAAAAAAAAACCAAAGGTCATCTACAGCACAGGAAAAAAATTTGACCTGATTTATTTTAAAAAGCACCTTTTCAGTTATATCTAAATGTAACTGGTAAACTATGTTACCACAAAGGCTTGCTTTATCAAAGCTGACTTACAATAATGATAGGTTCCTCCTTGCCAATTGTCACCAAACAAGATACACACGTGGAGCGTTGCTCTGAACTGAAAAAGGCTCTGAACTGTCAAGAGATACAGTTTCCTAAGCATCCAAATGGTTTTGGAGTAAAAGACAAGACAGTATGTATAGAACCTATCAGCTCAGAAAATCATTTAGATTTAGGCTTCTTAGTTTTTATACTTATTAATCACACAGGCTACAGAGTTTATAAACTGTACCACAAATGCATAAAACATGTTCTGGAGAGTTATAAACTACATCTCATAAATCCATAAACTCTAGATATATTTACAAGCCATCTGGTTAGACCAGGTATATCCTTATCTTCCCTAACCCTTAACCTAATCATCTATCCTTATTCTCCCTTGACTTTACAGCTTTTCAAATCTTTGCCTCACAATAGGGTATTCTTTGGGAGTCCTCAGATGACCTGTTTACGGATACAGTGAGCATGTTTGGGAAGATACAAAACAGTCAACAGTCCCAAGCTTCTAGAGCAGTGATTTTCAACCCGTGTGCCATGGCACACTGGTGTGCTGTGAGAGGATCTCAAAGTGTGCCACGAAATTTTTTAAAGATCATTAATTAAATTATTTTTGAAAGAAATTCAAAGCATAATAAGTATATTCCTTTTTTAGTCTTTTTCTTGATGAACATAATTTAAACGTGCCATGGAAGTTTCACTATAGGTTCTACTGTGCCATGAGATTAAAAAAAAAAAAGTTGAAAAACACTGTTCTAGACAGTGGGAATTCTAGAACCTAGTTCCCCATAAACCTCTGAGCAAAAACTTAAATTTGGCTATGGATGTGTAAGTCCCAAGAATGGCAACCGATCTGATAATTCCCACCCTTGATGCTGCTACAAAACAGCCTTTTCTTTCATCACTCAGATCATTTCACCCCCATCCCTCACATCCTACTATACCTTTCCCTTTGCTATCGTGTAAGTTTGTGCCCCCTCAAGATTCATGTGTTGAAATCTTAACCCCCAATGTACTGGTATTAGGAGGTAGAGCCTTTGGAAGATATAGGGAAAGGAAAGTTGAACAAACTTAGTATGAGTGACCCCATCTTTGTTCATTTGTTGACTTTTAGCACCTCACCCTGGTCTCAGGATGTCTGGAGTGTGTTTACTACCTTCAGGGGGACTTGGCCACTCTCTCAGAAGAGATGATAAACATTCCCAGGTTTCTGCCTCACATTTGAGTTATACACAACCACTTGTGCATTATTCTTTTGAACACTGGGTGGGGGGGGCAAGAGCAGAGACATGAAGTCTCATCCATGGAGTGGATGGACTGCTGGGACTGGGACTTCCCAGCTTATGAGCCTAGGCATAGGTGTTCCCCTGGTTTGGTGAGTGTATTATAGTTACATATAACTTCTCTCTACTGGCTTGTGGACAAACCTCCCAGCAGTTGGAACCATGTCTACTGATGCATTCCACAGGCTCATGAAGTGATTCAGAGAGTATATTGTAATTGTAAGTAACTTTTCCCCCTAACTCTATATTTGCTTTCTAATATTATATATAATTTTAATTTATTTCTCATCTCTTACATAATCTTACCCATTCAAAAAACCCACCTTGCTTCAGAATCTTAGAGCATGAACTCTTCCTTCGATTTCAAAAGCACAACAGAAGGTGTGCTTTGATTTTGAAGGTGCTTTGATTAGGTCACAGGGGCAAAGCCCTCATGAATGGGATTAGTGCCCTTATAAAAGAGCCCCAGAGAGCCATCATGCCCCTTCCGCCTGTGAGAACACAGCAAGTAGATGCCAACTATGGACCAGAATGCAGGCCCTCACACCAGACACAAAAACTGCCAGAACTCTCACATTAGACTTTCCAGCCTCCAAAACTATGAGTGTAAGCAATCAATTTCTGTGTTTATAGTATTTTGTTATAGCAGCCCAAATAGACTAAGATACCCTTAGACCAGAGCTTTCAAGAAGAACTTTCTATAATAATGGACATATGTTTTATATGTTTTATATCCATAAGTTGAGGGGGCACAAACTTACACGAATATATGTTTTATATCTATATCTAAGGTAGCCACTAGCCACATGTGGATACTGAGCACTTGAAATGTGACTCGTGTGGCTGAGGAAATAAATATTAAATTTTAATTTGTTTAAATTTAGACTTATACAGCCAGATACAGTGAATGGACACAGCACAGATACAGAATGTTTTCATCATTACAAAAAATTCTATTGTTTAACTCTACCTTAAATCATATCTAGGACTCTCCCTTTCCACTTCAAAATTCTTAAGCTCCCTTTCCACTTCAAAATTCTTAAGCTAACTCTCTTTCATCAACTTACTTCCTGTGCTCTTGGACGGATTGCAAATTTACTTAAAGTTCTCCTTTTTCCGCAAGCCAAGTCTTGTCTAAGAGACACAGAAGATACAATAAAAAGTAACAAGTATGCCTTTTTTTGTGGAGTTCATTATCTATGTGAACCAATAACAGTGCCCACAAAGCATCTAGAAAATAATCCAAAAGAATGCACATTCAGCCATATGGCGAAGATACTATTCCCAGTACCTGATCAAGCCAACATTCTTGCATCTAACAAAAACCAAAAATAAAACTCTCAAATGTGAACACCTCCATGAAATTTATCAAAAGTATAAGAAGTAGACATGTATGAAAGTGAGTAACAATTATCCTTGTGACAATTTTTTCAACTTTCTACAAATATTTATTGAAAAATTACACATAATGCACTATACTAGGTAGTAGGGAAAATATAAAGATAAATAAAATACTATTCTCATCCCTAAGGCATTTACACTGTGGTGGACAACTGATGAAACATATTTCATCATTATCTGATGAAAATGACCATTATTTAAAGCTATGAACACATCAAAACTATAGATGTTTAAGCCTGGAAGCTGTTACTATATGTTTATGTTTAGTGTTCATTATATTTCTCAAAGCTTACTGGGTAATTTTAACTTGAATCAGGATATACCAAAAAGCCTCTAAAGACAAGACATGATACACAGTAAGAATTCAAAACATATTCAATCTTGAACAATTAAATGTCTTCGAATAATAAAAAAGGTACATGTATTTTTTTAAAAGCCTTAAGGTACATATAATTTACAATTATGTTGAGGGCTAATGATTATTGATAATTTTATTTTTGTACTTAGTCAATGTTTATGATTGAATTATATTTCATGTTATTCATTAGTCCTATTTCTGTCTAAATTATTGTAAGTAAGCCTCAGGGCCAAGTACCAACTATAAGACTTTAAGAATTATTCTCAATGATGTTCCACATTTGATATGCAATAATTCTACAGTGTTTTGGTTATAAGTAAATTTTTAATGAAAATAGATTTCCTGAAAAACCTACCCTTTCCTGATACCGTCTTTCAAAGAAAGCCATATCATCCTCTTCAGGTCTCCTTAAGGAAGAAAGTTGACTACTTGTACCTACTAACAAGCAAAAAAAATCAACGTATTTATATCATCATATAGTCCCCTAAAATAAAAAATAGATAGAAAAGGTTCCTCTTGTCAGGTGATAATGTTTCGTTTTACAAACCAAAAATGGCCTAAACATATCACTGGTCCTACTATCTAATTCCTTTTTAGAAAGAATAGAATCACAGGACAAAAGTAATTTTCATTGGCAAACATTCTTCCCATATTCGATGGCTCATATTAAATAATACCACGTCGCTATTGTATAAGAGTATACTTGGTTTTGTCCAACTGCTTTTTACATTTTATAACTAGAAATCTGTGTTCCACTTTACGAGATAATGCATAGAAGTAATTATTGAGGCTTTATATAGACAACCATAGTGATGATACTACCTGCTTCAAAATTTTTGAAAACTAAAACATTTTATCCTCTTTTCATGGTATTTGCTTTGTAAAACTAATCAAGGACTCGTTTGTGTGCTGGAAGAAATTTAAAAGTGCTTCAGTAGGAAAACTCTAGTTGTCTCAGAGGTACCCCAAGACATATGTGGGAAAGTTCACCTTCATTGCTAGTGAATTTCTTCATTAGATACTTCTGTTTCCAAAAAAAATATCAACCTGAACACCTGTTCATCTAGTTTCTGAACCATATAAACTCACCCTTAATCAGTAACATAAAGACATATAACTCCAGGCTCAGCACCTGTGGCTCAAGTGGCTAAGGTGCCAGCCACATACACCTAAGGCGGCGGGTTCAAATCCAGCCTGGGCCTGCCAAACAACAATGACAGCTACAACCAAAAAATAGCCAGGCATTGTGGCAGGCGCCTGTGGTCCCAGCTACTTGGGAGGCTGAGGCAGGAGACTCACTTGAGCCCAGGAGTTGGAGGCTGCTGTGAGCTGTGATGCCACAGCACTCTACCCAGGGGGATAGCTTGAGGCTCTGTCTCAAAAAAAAAGACATTTAACTCCAGACAGTTACCCTGGGCTACAACCATACTCTGTTGGCTATCTTTTAAAAAGCCTAATTGAGAAAAATAAAATGAGAAAGCTTGCTTAGAATACATGCTACCTATATACTTCTCTGGAAACTCAAGGTCTATCCCTGTATCATGTTGGGCCATTAGAGCTAAGTCTCTTGCAGACTTAACTTCACTGCATTGTATTTTAATAATATATTACCATTTATCTGGTAAAATGGCATACTGCCAATCTTACCAAAAGTGATTACCAGAAACAAGCACAGCCAGGTGTGGTGTCACACACCTGTAGTCCCAGCTACTGGGGAGGCGAGGCAGGAGGATCACTTGATCCCAGGAGTTTGAGATTGCTATGAACTATGATCACACCATTGCACTGTACCCAAGGCAACAGAGCCAGATTCTGTCTCCATCTTTTTTTTTTCTTTTTTTGAGATAAAGGTCTCACTCTGTTGCTGCAAACTGGAGTATCGTGGCATCACAGCTCACAGCAACCTCAAACTCCTGCACTCAAGCAATCCTTTTGCCTCAACTCCCAAGCAGCTGGGACTACAGGCACCCAGCACAACACCCAGCTAGGTTTTCTACTTTTAGTAGAGACGGGGTCTGGTTCTTGCTTAGACTCATCTCAAACTCCTGAGCTCAAGTAATCCACCTGCCTCAGCCTCCCACAGTGCTGGGATTACAGGCATGAGCCACCACGCCTGGCCCAGATTCTGTCTCCAAAAAAAGAAAAAGAAAAAAAAAAGAAACAAGCAACCATCTGCTGCATTTGCTAAAAATAAAAAAAAAAAAAAACCTTTTGAGGACACCTTGGCAATTGTATCACTGAGGGTCACCATATAGACTTCTACAAAATCCAGCACTGGAATAACATTAATTAGCATTGAGGAACTTAAGCTTCCACCCTTCTAATAAGGAAAAGTATTTAAATGACCACACTTTCCTCTGCTCCTTGGCCACCACTATACTTAGTCAAAACTGAAGCTTAATGCAGCAATCACATCAACCTCGAAGTGGCCATAACTGTGTCCTTTATTTCAGTTTTGATTTCTGATTTCTATCTATATTTTATCATTACATACAAAGTTCTTACAACAACTTTTATGTTGTTTTTGTAAGCAGTCTTCAAATCCCTTTTGAAGAATGTCAGTGTATGAAAAAACAGACAAAGCAAATTATCATCTAAAAATATTTTAAAATATCAAATACCAAAGCCAGGCATAGTGGTTCATGCCTACAATCCCAGTACACTGGGAAACCAAGGTGGGTGAATTGCTTGACCTCAGGAGTTCAAGACCAGCCTGAGCAAGAGTGAGACCCCACCTCTAAAAAATAGCCAGGCACTGTGGTGGGTGCCCTATAGTCCCAGCTACTCAGGAGACTGAGGCAAGAGAATTGCTTTGAACCTAAGAGTCTGAGGTTGCTGTGAGCTATGACACCAGGGCATTCAACCAAGGGTGACAAAGTAAGACTCTGTTTCAAAAAAAAATCCCACTAAACCATACAAAGTACTTCTTTGAAATAATATAGGAATATTGTAACTGGAGATTCTATAGGAATACATATGGAATAATATAGGAATATATATATACATAGGAATAGTGTAAAGGAATAAATAGAATATAATATAGAAATAAAGAAATACAATGCTCAAAATGAATTCTACTTGCTCTTAATTTATAAATTATAAATGCTGCTAAACCCATGGTAGTCACTGGGTTACATCCCTTTGAGAGAACCCACTAGAGGGCTCTCTTATTCCAACACCAGAGCAACAACATGTACCCAGAATAAGGTTGAAAACTTAATTGTATGTTAATATTATAAGAATCCTCAACATTTTCAGATTTAGCTATATTTCCCAATACATAATGAAGCTGCTGGCTTTTTTGCAGTACCTGGCTAATATAAAAGAGAACAAAATGATAGATTCACTTGAAGTCAAATTGTGATTATAAATAGAAAAAAGGAGAGAAGCCTATAAAACAAATCAAAACCCTATATTCTAACTTAATACATCCAAAAGTATTTCTCGATTTAATCTGATTACCATCTTTTAATGTTTCAGGAGAAGAAACAGATGCTGCTTGAAAGGCTTTTAGAAATGGGTGATCCATGGCTGTAACTGGAGATTCTAAAAATTCAACTGAAGGTGCACCTGAGAACAAAATAGAGAAGGAAAATTAAATCTCTACTTAAAAGGCTACCACCAGTTACTATTTCTTTCTTTTTTTTTTTTTTTTTTTTAGACAGAGCCTCAAGCTGTCCCCCTGAGTAGAGTACCGTGTCATCACAACTCACAGCAACCTCCAACTCCTGGGCTCAAGCAAGTGTCCTGCCTCTGCCTCCCACGTAGCTGGGACCACAGACGCCTGCCACAACACCTGGCTATTTTTTGGTTGCAGCCGTCATTGTTGTTTGGTGGCCAGGGCTAGATTCGAACCTGCCACCTTAGGTATATGTGGCTGGTGCCTTAGCCACTTGAGCCACAGGCGCCCAGCCATCCAGTTACTATTTCTAATGTGAAATAAATTGGAGTCTCAGCAAAATCATCAGAAAATCCTTTCTACAAAAAAGCAATTTTTATTCAGATTTTTTAACTACCATATGAAGTAAAGGCAAATAGGTAAAGGATTTTTGCATTTCTCAGCACATTTCTAAAACCTTTTTCACATACAAAAAAATATTATGCACTAATGTAATTGTGTGTCAACACAGAAATACAAAACCCTAATATAATTTACAAAACACTATCAAAACCAAGACATTTGCAATAAGGAACTTCTGGTTGGAGAGGGTTAAAAAAAAGTATACTTTTACTCTCCTCCTTCCTGGGAAACCATGACAAAGGAAGTGTGAAAAAATAAAACAAGCAAGCTCCTTCTTCACCAAAATGAGAAATACCCACAACCCCAAACCAAAAACCACAAAGACCAACTGCCTAAAACATTGACTCTTGGGACCAAAAGGAAGGAAGATGCAGAGGAAATTTATAACTGTTCTTTCTTCACAACACTCCCTCCTCCAATACCCCATCCTCACACCACAGGTAGAGGGAAGGAAATAAAATTTTAGTCCTAACTGGTTTAAAAGTTAGTCCTATCTTACAATGTAAACAGTCAGGGACAACTGATCAGTCTTTTTCCCCTCCCTTCCTCAGCTACTCTCTCCTGGGGAATGTGGGAAAATAGGAGAAGGAGCTCAGGTCCACTGAGGTCTTTGTGCTATGCTCTGGTGGCTGCATGTCCTATGGATCTCAAATGCTCCAGGTTGGTGGAACTTGTAAATTGGTCTCTCTGCCAAGATCTGATACTCTAACACTTGCTCTCACAAGAAATACAGATCCCCTCAAGTGCTTGTCACTTCTTCTCCTGCATCACCCCTCTATTGAATCCCCCACACGTCCAGCTCTGCTCTGAGATCACCTTGGCCCCTGCTCTGACAGATGCCACTGCAGGCCCACTCCTCACAGTTCAGCTGCCTTCATAGCAACCCCTCAGAACTGGGAATTACAGTTTCTTTTCACATCAAAAAGGAACCAAACTTGAGCCAGGTGTGGTGACTCATGCCTGTAATCCTAATACTCTGTGAGGCTGAGGCAGATGGATTGCTTGAGCTCAGGAGTTTGAGAATAGCCAGAACAAGAGCGAGACCCAGTCTTTACTGAAATTAGAAAAACTAGCTGAACATTGTGGTGGGCAACTGTAGTCCCAGCTACTCAGGAGGCTGAGGCAAGAGGATCTCTCAAGCCCAAGAGTTTGAGGTTGCAAGGACAGAGTGAGACTGTCTCAAAAAAAAAAGGAACTAAACTCCAGTAAGAAGTCTCTGTCTAGGTGTGTACATGGCTAATATAGTAGAAATCTCTTGCCCCTGCACTCCTCTACACCTGAAATTTGGACAAAAATATCTTATGTTTCCCCTCCTCCCTCTGTTTCTTCACCCCACCTTCTTTCAGGCAATGGAGGAGGAAATTTTTCTTTCTTTATAAATGTACAATCATGCATCACATAAGATATTTCTGTGAGTAACTAACTGCATATGCAACAATGGCCCCATAAGATTCGTGGAGCCAGACCATAAAGGTGTACCATTTTTTTATCTTTTGTACTATGTTTCTATTATACCTTTTCTACATTTAGATATGTGTACATGCTGTACAGGTTTGTAGCATAGGAGCAATAGGCTATACCACCTAGCTTAGTGTAATACACTCTGTGATGTCCGCATAGTAACAAAGTCACCTAAGGATACATTTCTCAGAACACATCCCCATCATTAAGCAATGCATGACTGTACTGTGAAGATACTTAAGTGATAAAATACCAACCTCATGTTTTCACAAAAAATAAATGCCAGATATGTGAAAAAGCTAAACATAAAAAATTGAGTATTAAAATAAAATGAAGAAGAATATATTTATAAAATTCAAACAGGGAAGGCTTATCTCCAAAATTTAAAAAGCATAAAAAAAATGTTTTTAAAGATTAAAAGACAAGTGACAGATTGGGAGAAAATGTCTGCAGAATAAACAACAAAGGGTTAGTATACAGAATATATAAAAAGACTTCCTCTAAGTCAATGACAAAAGATAAAAACAAAGAGCAAAAGATACAAACAGGCAATTCACAGAAAGTGAAATGGCCAATAAATATGCAAAGATCCTCATCTCATTAAAAACCAGGGAAATAATAACAATTTCATACACTGGAATGGCAAAATAATTAAGTTTAATTGGCTTAAATGTGAGGGAAACAAGTAAATGGAAACATCACTAGAAGAAGTAAAAACAGACACAGCATTTTTTGAGGACAATCTGTCTTAACAATTTAACGCACTTCAACCCAATGAGTTTATTTCTCTATATCTACTTTAGAATCAAATTCACTCAAAGATACAAGGAGGCAAGCTGAAAGGTTTTCTTGGCAAGATTATTTGTAATGGCCAAAAGGAAAAGCCCTAAATGCCACAAATAAGGAAATGGTTAAATTTCTGTATCTATAGTGGAATACTGCGCAGCAGTGAAAAAGAATGAAGTAGATTTGTGTGTCTTGATACAACAGGCCTTCACAATTTTTCTAGGTTTAAAAAATAATAAATAGTGAAAATGTATGCTAAAGAGAAAAAGTAATGATGATGACAAATTATCCTCTGGGAAAGAATTAGGTAAAAAGAAGTGTTCAAGGGGGCTTTCCACTTCATTTCTATTGTTTGAATCTTTTACATATAATATATATATATATATATTTGTATTCATATACTTTTTTAATTTTAAAAAGTGCATGCTTGGTATAAAATTGTTTTAAATCTTCACACAAAGAAACGTTTAAAGTAGATAGGAAATAAATTTTGCTCCCCTATCCTGCTCAATTCTCGGATGGATACAGATACCTTCAAAAGTTCAGGATATAAGCTCAACACCTGTAGGTCAGCGTCTAGGGCACCAGCTACATACACCAGAGGTGGCGGGTTCGAATCCAGCCTGGGCCTGCCAAACAACAATGACAACTACAACCAAAATATAGCCAGGCGTTGTGGCAGGCACCTGTAGTCCCAGTTACTTGGGAGCCTAAGGCAAGAGAATTGCTTAAGCCCAAGAATTGGAGGTTGCTGTGAGCTGTGACAACATGGCACTCTACCAAAGGCAACATAGTAAGACTCTATCTCAAAAAATAAAAAGAATAAAAAAATAAAAATCAAATGAAAGAATGTTTTCTGGAAAAACATGATGGCTATAAAGTCCTTAATAAACACAAGTCTTCACTATTATTAGCACACATAAAAACCATATGAAAAGCTCAAACTTCATGTATCATTAAGTAACTTACCGATTCCACTGTCATCCAATCGCATGTAGCCTTCTGCCAGAGAGCTGAAACCAGTTAATCCTCCCATTGCTGCATATGGAACATCTCGTCCCACTGGTTTCCCCTGAGCCAATCTTTCTTGCTTAGTTTCTACTACTGTGTCATGGGCATATGCAGGCTGACCACAAGCACAAGTGAAGCAGCTATGGAATCCTGAACATTTAGAACCTGAAGCAAGATGTAAAGAGAATTAAATATTTTTAAGTACATGTACTAGGCTGTCTATCCCAAAGCCACTTAGCATGGCCAAAGCCAGCTGAATCTAGATCTTCTAGCCCCTGTAACTCTTATCTCCAGGATATGAACTTCCTCCCAGCCATTGCTCTTACTTCTGAAATATGCTAACATGATAAGGGGGTATATCACAGGAAAAAAAAAATTGGAAAAACCAACTAAGACAAAAAGAAATTGTGTTGTACACAGAAGACCCTGGAAATGCAGGCCTTCGCAAAAATTAAGGGACAGCCAAGTGGCCAGGACTAGGTGAAGAAAAAATACAGATACCTCCCTACAGATCAATTCCCCATAAAAGCTATCCTGGAAGACTGATCCATAGACACAGAAAAGATGTAAGGAACTACTACTCAGAATAAAAATAAGTACTGATTCATCAAAATGGATGAATCACAAAAATATTATGCTAAGAAGCTAATCACAAATGACCACATAGTCTATGATTCCATTTAAAGAAAATATTCAGAAAAGGCAAATACCTAGAGACAGAAAATAGATTATTGGGTGTTCACTTCAGCAACACATATACTAGAAAGTAAATTGTTGGTTACCTAAGTCTGGGGAGAAAGAATGACTCCTAATGAATAGGGAGTTTCTTTTCAGGATAACAAAAATGTTCTATACTTTATTGTGCTGATGGTTGTACAACATTCACTCTGATTAACATATTAAAAACCATTAAATTGTATATTTTAAATAGTTAAATTGCATGTATATAAATTATGTCTTAATCAGGTTGCTATATAAAAAACAAGCCATATTGGAATGGAGGCCAGAATATGCAATTAACAACATCTTTACCCAGTCACACCTTTGACCAATGTGCACAGGCGCCAAGGCCCAGAAGTAAACAAGTTTTATCCATCTACTTCCATACTTAGCCAATAAAACACATATATTCCTACCTCTGTCATGAAAAATGTTTTATTACATATTTGATCATAGATTTCAACTCAAACTACTAAGTAAACAATTGGAATTACTATCTCCTAACTGGACTACTGCCTTACCTATTCCCAAAACTGTGATCGAATGAATGGGCATATGGAGTGCAGGTTGGGATGTGGATCCAGGTATTGAGGTAAGAGTGCTATTGCATACATAGCATTAAAGTTATAATGTTACATTTTATTCTTCCCATCAGCCTGTGTTTTAGACAATTATACAAGCAAATTGTAAAAACCTTTTGACTTATAAAATGCCTTTTAAAAATCTGTAAGTAGGGCTCAGCACCTGTAGCTCAGTGGCTAGGGCACTGGCCACATACACCAGGCTGGTGGGTTCAAACCTGGCCCAGGCCTGCCAAAAAACAATGACAACTAAAACAACAACAACAAAAAACTGGGCATTGTGGCAGGCACCTATAGTCCCAGTTTACTTGGGAGGCTGAGGTAAGAGAATGGCTTAAGCCCAAGAATTAGAGGTTGCTATGAGCTGTGACGCCGTGGCACTCTACTGAAGGCAACATACTGAGATGCTGTTTCAAAAAAAAAGAAAAAAAAATGTAAGTAGAAGTTAGTTGATCAAACTCTCAGTATTCAAAAACTTGAGTCAGATTACATCTAGTGATTTTTTGAAACCTATCACTATTACTTAATTTATATGTACTACATGAGACTAGAGTTTATGATTAACAAACATACAATAACTCTTTTGAGTTTTTCTGCAAAAATGAAATATCAGAGTATCTACCCACTGAATTTTCTTTATTTAATACTGACTCTACAACTAAATAAAACTGGCACATTAAATATTCAAGGAATATTCAACAAAGGCACATTAAATATTCAAGGAAAAAACATAAATATTCAAGGAGAAACATAAACATTCTGTGTTTGTATGTTTATAATAATGAAACTCACATGCATTACACGTAAAGCCAGGCGCAGCACTGTGCTGATCTGCAAAGTGTTTGCATCTGCAGCGAATGGGCTGAGTACCATTCAAAGGGACATAAAGGTAAGCCTTGCACTGGCAGCCAGTCACTCTGCAAGGCAGATCAATGGGGCGCTGTTCAGGAATCATTTCAAAGTCAGTTTTATGCTGTTTATACCTAAAGAAAAATGAATGAATTAAAAAAAAACATAACCACAATACAGATATTACCAAAAATTACAGTTTCTTCACACCTGTAATCCTACCACTCTAGGAGTTCAAGGCAGGTGGATTGCTTGAGTTCAGGAGTTTTAGACCAGCCCGAGCAAGAGTGAGACCCCATGTCTACTAAAAATAAAAATAAAAAAATAGCCAAGCATGGTGGCGGTACTGATAGGCCCAGCTACTCTGGAGACTGAGGCACAAGGATCACTTGAACCCAAGACTTTGAGGTTGCTGTGAGGTAGGACACCACAGCACTCTACCCAGGGCAAGAGTGAGACTCTGTCCTCCCCCCCCCAAAAAAATTACAATCTCTAATTTCTATTCTTTTAAATGTAAATATGATTTTTTTTATTTTTATCATTTTGTTTTGTTCTTTTTGGTAAAGTGACAATAAACCCCCTACATACAGTATTTCTGTCAACTATGTTGCTTTGGTTAGAGGAAATCTTCACTCTTATTTTAGATTTTTATTTTTAGTTATTTAAGAAGTTGTTTAACAGCAATACAAAGAAATACCATATTATTGCTACAGATTGTTTTCTGGTTTTGTTTTTTGAGACAGAGTCTCACTTTGTCACCCTCGATATAGTGTCATGGTGTCATAGCTCATAACAACCTTAAACTCTTGGGCTTAAGCGATTCTCTTGCCTCAGCCTCCCAAGTAGCTGGGACTACAGGCACCCTCCATAATGCCTAGCTATTTTTAGAGACAGGGTCTCTCACTATTGCTCAGGCTGGTCTCAAACCTTTAAGCTCAGGCAATCCACTCACCTCAGCCTTCTGGAATGCTATGATTACAGGCATGAGCTACCATGCCCAGCCAGATACTTTTATATAAAAGCACAACCAAAGATTATTTTTAAAAGTTATTTATAAAAACTATTTTAATCAAAGTGCATGACTTAAATTTTTTTCATAGGTTTGCTATTTAAAATTGAAATAAATTCAATGAACATGCATTATTATAATTTATTTTAATATAAGTTAATTTTTAACTTTTAACTTCAAAAGAAATTATCGATATTTTTGAAAGCACTGTAATTTTCTCAGTCACTCAATCCCTTCTCAGAAAGGGATACTTCAGTAAAATATTATATTTGTTAATCTCAATATGAATCTAAGAAACGCAAGTTAAAATAACAACATACCATTTTTCACCTGCAAAAAGAGTAAGGTTTTTTTCTTTTTTAAGAGACAGAGTCTTACTTTGTTGCCCTTGTTAGAGTGCCATGGCATCACAGTTCACAGCAACCTCTAGCTCCTGGGCTTAGGGGACTCTCTTGCCTCAGCCTCCCAAGTAGCTAGGACTACAGGTGCCTGCCACAACGCCCAGCTATTTTTTTGTTGTTGTTGTTGTTGTTGCAGTTTCGCTGGGGCAGGTTTGAACCCGCTACCCTCAGTATATGGGGCCCAGAGCCCTACTCACTGAGCCACAGGCGCCACCTGAGTAAGGTTTTTTGTTTTTTTTTTTTTGCATTTTTTGGCTGGAGCCAGGTTTGAACCCACCACCTCCGATATATGGGGCTGGCACCCTATTCCTTTGAGCCACAGGTGCCACCCCGAGTAAGGTTTTTTTTTTTAACTACATGTAATTAACAATGCCATCAAGAGTGTTACAAAGTACCAATCTCATTTAATGATGTTTCAAGAAACAAAAAGATTCATTCTTTAACCAAAAAGTTCATTTTTGGAGAATGTATTCTAAGAAAATAGTCCCATGTATAGGAAAATCTTAGTGCATAATGGTAGCGTTAGCAACAGTACTTTCAACAGCAATATACAGTATATACACACACACATAAGGAATGGATAAGTAAATTACTAGACAACAGTTTTCAAATGCTTTAGCAGTGAAATTCTTTCTTCAAATAAAATCTTTCACAGAACCATAATATATAAAACGGAATCGAAATTGATTAAAGCAAGAGGAAGAGCCAGAATTAAACTTTGTCCTGCTCCTACTCTGCCTTTCTACCTAGCGCACCCCTGAAGCTCCCTCACACCTCTGGGGAACATGAGATAAGCACAACTAGACTAGCTGGAATATAAAGTAGGTATTAAAAATCTTGTTTGTAATTACTACATAACAATGTACAATTATTTATCTGTGATTCTGTCATGAAAAAATAGCGAAATGTTTTACACATACACATAATTAACAATAAATGTACTATGTAAAGGAAAATAATCATACAAACATAGTGAAAAGTATTAACAGTAGCTGGCTTTTAGTAGTGTCTTCTACTTTTCTATATATTCCCCATTTTTCTTAAAAACCATTTATCACTTTTATGGTAGGAAAAAAATAGTTTGGACAGAGACCCCACTGAGTGACCAGTTCTCCATCGAAGTTGGGTTGGCTCAATTTTGAGAGTCAATTCCATGCCGTATGAATGATACAGAGATAAGAAACTGGCACTAAATTTATACAAGAACAAATTACAAAAGCTATACAAATTTACTAAATCCTTCTCCAATTCTGAAAGATATCAACACATTCTTCATCCTCCACTCCTCTTCTCAGTGTTTTTAGTTGGGATTGCTAAATAAGCTTATAGTCAATCTGTACACATTACTCACCCTAGCAACTGCGTAACAACCTTTGGCAAATTCAACTCTGTAAATAACAACTGTACAGAAAGTCTTTCATGAAAGACTTTTTTTTTTTCCTTTGAAAAAAAGAGCCCCAGAAACTGCTATCAGAATGGGGTGGTTCTTCTTCAATGGTTCCCTTAGAACAGAAAGTTAAAGTTGCCTGAAATCATGTAATAGGTTCAAAGATTCTTCTGTGAAGCAACTTGGTTTTTTGAATTTTACAACTGTCAGACAATGGTACAATTTAAAGTAGAGCAAACATACAGCAAAATGCAAACCTGGGATAAAAGCAACACACCTCAGTGACTGGAACCCCAGGTATTTCCTTTCCTTTATGTGCTTTCCTTGGACCGTGACCATGTGGGATATAAAGCAGCAGACTTGGATTTTTGTTTGTTTAAAGAAAAGTGTCAACGTAGCAGTTCTTTAAGTTATGAAGGGCAATTAGTAAATTTAAGAAGAAATGCTTCTATTTGTAGATATATAGTATGACTGGTGTGGGTCAATTCAAGCAACTGTTAAGTGGTTCTTCAGTCTGAGGATCCATTCTTCCTGTACCTTGTCCAGTGACAGGAGATGCAGGTACTCTGTGCCCCAGACAAACTTAAAGACTGCTGGTAAAGTTGTAGGGGCACTCAAATCTCTTCTACCAATGATAAGGAAGAGTTGCTTAACGTGATAGGTTGCATGATGAGTTCTAAAAAGCTATGACAGAAATGTTAAAATTACAGCCGAAAAAAGCTTTAGATAATTTCTACTGCAGTAATCAATAAGGGCCTATTTTTAAGTGTTACTCATTACAGTGTTACTTATAGAAGCAAGATATGATTTACTACAGCTTTTTATTTTCTAATCAATCATTAGACAACTTAGCGATAGATTATCTTACCTATGTGTACAAAAACACAGTGTCTCCGGGCCCACAAGTTTACAATCCATTCCAGTCGGTGACCGCCAGCTCACAAATAATCTGTTTTGTAAGCGCATAGGTAAAACTTTTCTTTTATATTCTTCATATTCTTCAGGAGTAAAAAGTTTCCCTCCATCATCCTCACCAACAATTCTACAACAACAACAACAACAAAAAATACTTCTCTTAAGCCTTAAGTACTTATTTCCCAGGTTAAAAATACTAAATTCTGGCTCGGCGCCTATAGATCAACCGGCTAAGGCGCCAGCCACGTACACCTAAGCTGTCAGGTTCGAATCCCCAGCCCGGACCCGCCAAACAACGATGATGGCTGCAACCAAAAAATAGCCGGGCGTTGTGGCGGGCGCCTGTGGTCCCAGCTACTTGGGAGGCGGAGGCAGGAGACTCGCTTGAGCCCAGGAGTTGGAGGTTGCTGTGAGCTGTAATGCCATGGCACTCTGCCCAGGGGGACAGCTTGAGGCTCTGTCTCAAAAAAAAAAAAAAAAAAAAAAATACTAAATTCTAAAATTATACTGGTATATTCAAAGGAAATGCTACTTTTTGATTTTTTTACTTTATGCACACGATGATAGCCAAATTGCATACAAGAGTAATAAAACTTTTGCTTCAGATGGAGTTAAGGACATGCTACCCCAAAACACAGCACCCTGGCATTTGTGAAAACAGCAGAAGTAGGAAGGTCACTCTCATCTTCTCCTCCCTCTTCTTCTCTGAAGCAGTTTATACAATTTTCATTCCAGAAATGTCCTCCCTGCACCTGAAGGAAGGGAACGTGCTTATCTTCTTAGACATGGGAACACAGAGAAGAATCTGAACAAACAGGCCCTGCTAAGTTCTCTCCAGTTTATCACCATTGTTAGATTGTATTTTCTGTCCTGCAATCGTATTTCTCCCATTTTTCTCTTCAAAATACACAGAGGCCAGTTGCAGTTGCTCATGCTCATAATCCCAGCACTTTGGAAAGCCAAAATAGGAGGATCCCTTGAGACCAAGAGTTCAAGACTAGCCTAGGGAACATAGCAAAACCCTATTCCTACAAAATAATTTAAAAATTAGCCAGGCATGATAGCATGCGCCTACAGTCCTAGCAACTCAGGAAACTGAGGCAGGAAGATCACTTGTTCCCAGGAGGTCAAAGTTACAGTGAGCTATGATTAGTCCACTGCTCCCCAGCCTGAGTGAAAGAAGACCCTGTCTCTTAAAAAAAATTTTTTAATTAAAAAAAAAAAAAAAAGATAGGATTCCCTGACTCATCAAGCTCTTCATCTTCACTTTCCAGCTCAGAATTCCAGACAGTTCTATACCCAAAACCATCAGCGGGACAGTCAACGGCAATGCAGGAAGCTGAAGAACCCAGGTGCCCAGACACCTCTGGGTGATTTGGACCCACCTCTTTCAAGCAGAGTGGTCCCTCTCGCTTGGGTTTTCCAGACCAAGCCATGACAGTCTCACCTCTCATTTGCCGCACATCCTCCTGCCTCGACCCCGCACCCTCCTGCTGGTCCTCGCCAGTAATTCCCATTCACCCAGTTTCTCAGCTGTCAAAAAACCCTGGATGGGTAAAAGAACCCATCGCCTAAGGTGCAGCATCCTTTGTCAGAGCACAGGGCAATGAGCCTCGTCCTGTTTCTGGAGGGGAGTTTCTCCAGAACCACCAAAATTACACTAGTTTGCGACTTTCTCCAAAAACCAGCGGCCCGGGGCTGGGAACACGTTCGGAAGTTCACTTTATACCTATTACTGGATTAATCTGAACTCTGCCAACTTTTATGATGTGTACTTCTTCGATGGCCATTTTCAAAAACAAATGTGGACTTTTACATAAATCTAGAGTTAATAATCCTTTGACAGGAAAGACCTTTTAAATGGCTTCCAAATTCTTATTACAGAATAAAACTGCGTGTCACTACAATATTTAATTACAAAACAGAGAAACGTGACATCCACGTAGGCCTCCCCCAGCAGCCCGGGAACAGATTCCCACAGCCCCAGCGCTCGCCCGCCGGCGCCCAGCCGTCCGCAGATTACGGGCACCCAGCCAGCCCCGGGCCTTCGCCCCCACGGAGCGGCGGGATGCAGTCCCGGAGCCTCAGCCTCACCTCCGGTACTCTAGGTACTCGTCCACCGCCGCCGCGCCGCCGGGAGGCAAGGTCTGGCGCTCCATGGCCGGGGGGAAGCGAAAGGCGCTAGCGCTCGCCGTCCGCCCGCACCCCCGGGCCCCGCGCCGCGCCCCGCCCACACGCCTCCGGATTGGCCGAGCCCGCAGATCGCGGCGGGCGCGCGCAGCGACGGCGCAGGGCGCGCGCTTCCACCTGGCCACCGTCTGCACCGCTCAAGATGCTGTCTGCCTCTGTTGACAGACCTTGTCGCTGTCTCCTCTCCCTTTTCCCCAACCGGCAATTCTCCTCCTAGTCCCAAGAGACAAAGGAGTGCGATGCCTTACATATAATGGACGCATAAAATATGACATATTTCTTTGTACGGCTTTTGTAACTTAATCCCACCTCTTGAAATACGTGTAAGTGGTTTTGAGAAGATTTGATTAGATTGAGGCCCGCCTTCCTTCATTATTGACAGCTTTGTTTTCCATATCGGCGTTCTAAAAATTGCATAAAATCAATAGTCCTGCATTTAGTTTGGGTGACGTTAAAGCAATGTGACCTTCAAAGGAAATGAGTAACAAGTTTAAAAGGAAACAAGTAAAAACAATTTGGGTAGGTTTTGTTTAACCTTTGGAAAGACTACACAAATCATTTAAAAGTTTAATTACCATACAATTGGTAATTGGGCCATAATTTGGCTTAGCAACCTGGAAAAGGGGTAGGAAACCCACCGTTAGTCCAAGGGAGGCGTTAAAACAGCAAGAAAAATTATTCTCTGAACTTCAATACCAGTACTTTATTTTTAAAAATTATTTTCGGCTCGGCGCCTGTGGCTCAAGTGGCTAAGGCGCCAGCCACATACACCTAAGGTGGCGGGTTCGAATCCCCAGCCCGGGCCGGCCAACCACCATGATGGCTGCAACCCAAAAATGGCCAGGCGTTGTGGCGGGCGCCTGTGGTCCCAGCTACTTGGGAGGCTGAGGCAGGAGACTCGCTTGAGCCCAGGAGTTGGAGGTTGCTGTGAGCGTAATGCCATGGCACTCTACCCAGGGGGATAGCTTGAGGCTCCGTCTCAAAAAAAAAAAAAAAAAGAAAAAGAAAAAATTATTTTCTACATATGTCAAATATATATGTATATTAGAAAAATTATTTTCTACATATTCCAAAAAGCAAAATATCATTCAAATTGAGAACTTCCCCTGTCCATTGGTCTAAAGTCCCCTTCCTTTTCAGGAGAGTTGGACAGTAAGATAAAGAAGTGATCCTGAAATCAGGTACATATTTTAGGGGAGAGATCCAATTACCGTTCTCTCCATTCATACCTGTGGTTTGTTGTTGCCTATTCTACCTCTTTATGAGCTCCTAGCCCTGCTTTCTGGCAGCAGCTAAAGGAACAAAGATAAATAGAAGAAAATACCAGGCTCTGTGAGCTTATGGAAACATGGCAGGGGAATGTCTGTTTAGGCAAGTACAATTTAATGAGTCTAGAGGGAAATGATTAAAATAGCCCCAATGCAATTGTGACTCTTCCAGGAAGATGCTGGAGCAGTAAACTCCTCTGGCCAAAGACATCAACAAAAATATTGGGCATGACAAATAAGGGTACGGAACAAACTAGAAAAATGTTATCCTAACCTTATATAAAACCAACTCTTTTGCTAATTAGAATACTGTATGGTTCTGACCTCTGCTTTAAAAAAAGATATAAATGAGCTATACGCCAAAAAGTGTAGCTAAATTAATCTAGGAAGTAGGATGGACAGAGGGAACATGAAGATTGCCGAGACAACTATTAGACATTTAACATATTTATTCCTCATAAAACTTTACCGCTGTCAAGAGGAAAGAAGCCATACTCTATAAAATAATTTAAAGAAGTTTACTCTGAGCCAAATTTGAGGACCATAGCTCGGAGTCATACCCAAGAAACCTGGAAAAAATAGACTTGTTTTGGTGAGGGGTTACGGTTTTGTTTTATACATTTCAGAAAGACAGAAACTATAGGTAAAGTTATAAATAAATACATGGAAGGCATACATTGATTTGGCCTAAAAAGGTGGGACATCTCAATGCAGAGACCCACAGATTATAAGTGGGTTTAAAGATTGTTTAGCTGACCATTGGCTAAAAGATTTAGGCTCTAATAGACCAGGAGTTAGCAAAAAGGAATGCTGAGTTAAAATAAGGGTCTGTTAAGCAGAGACAAACTCCAGGACATATTCTCAGATTCAAGTAGCTTGTTGTGCATATTGAGAAACTGCATAGCTTTAGGCCTGCTAATGAGTCACAAAGGACATCTCTACGAAGGCAGGGGGACATGCTGAGGCATGTCTAATCTCCTTTCTCATGGCTAGCACCTCAGTTTTAGGGGATCGTGTTGGCCAAGAGGGGGTCCAGTCAGCTAGCCACTTGGGGGGGGGGGCATGGCACTCTACTGAGAGCAACAAAGTGAGACTCTGTCTCAAAAAATAAAGAGTTGTTATAGCTCCAGAAAGTTCATTCAAATTCAAAAAAGGGCAAAGGAGGGCCCCTAAGAGCAGCTGTTGCTTTTATCAAGAAAGAGTTTTCTGGCTTGGCGCCTGTGGCTCAAGTGGCTAGGGCGCCAGCCACATACACCTAAGGTGGTGGGTTCGAATCCAGCCCGGGCCCGCCAAACAACAATGATGGCTGCAACCAAAACATAGCCAGGCGTTGTGGCGGGCGTCTGTGGTCCCAGCTACTTGGGAGGCAGAGGCAGGAGACTCGCTTGAGCCCAGGAGTTGGAGGTTGCTGTGAGCTGTCATGCCATGGCATTCTACCCAGGGGGACAGCTTGAGGCTCTGTCTCAAAAAAGAAAGAGTTTTCTGGCCAGGTGCTGTCTCATGCCTGTAATCCCAGTACCTTGGGAGGCTAAAAGAGGTAGGAGAGATTGGTTGAACCCAGGAATTCCAGGATGCAGCAAGCTATGATCACCGCTACAGCTCCAGCTGTGTGACAGAGTAAGCCCCTAGCTCTTAAAAAAAATTCCTAGAAACACCTCTGCAAAAGATTTTCACTTACACATCATTCACTAGAACTGTGTGACAGGACTAACCCTAGGTATAAAGAAGTCTGGGAAAACAAACAGTACTTATGTTTCTGGGCTCTATGACGGAGTTGTCAAGGAGAGGGTTAGAAATATATGATGAGATCCAGCAATCCCACTACTGGATATTTACCACCACCACCCCCAAAAAATCATTCTATGAAAAAGACACTTGCATTCGAATGTTTATAGCAGCACAATTCACAATCACAAAGATGTGGAAACAACCCAAGTGCCTATCAATTCATAAGTGGATTTATACAAAGTAGTATATGTATACCATGGTGTATTATGCAGCCATAAAAAAAATTGGTGAACTAATATCTTTTGTAATTAACTGGATGGAACTGGAGACCATCCTTCTAAGTGAAGTATCAGAAATAAATGGAAATAAGTGATCAACATGCATGCATACATATGGTAGTAAAATTCAATGGAAATCAAGCAGATGGAAGAGGAAAGGGGGAAAAAGGGACAGGTAAGTTCACTCACAGGCATAATGCACACTATCTGGGGGACAGACACAACTGTAACTTTGACTCAAACTGCGCAAAAGTAATGCATGTAACAAAAACAACTGTACCCCTGTAACATTCTGAAATAAAAAAAAATTTTTTTGAGACAGTCTTACTATGTCACCCTCGGTAGAGTGCCGTGGCGTCACAACTCACAGCAACCTCAAACTCTTGGGCTGAAGCTATTCTCTTGCCTTAGCCTCCCAAGTAGCTGGGACTATAGGCACCTGCCATAACGCCCAGCTATTTTTTGTTGCTGTTGTCCTTGTTTAGCTAGCCCAGGTCAGGTTTGAACCTGCCACCTTCTGTGTATATGGCTAGGGCTAGTGCCATAACCACTGTACTATAGGCACCGAGCCAAAAAATAAAAATTTTTTTTTAAAGAAAGAAATGTATGTTGGGTTAAAAGTGTATGTTTCGTTAGCCAGTACACAGAGTCTACCACAGCTCACTGTTGAACTGCTTAATATCCATGCATATCCTTCTTCCTACGCAGGTATTTTACATTGAATACACTCATAAGGCCCTCAAGTAAGACAACCCCAAAATCTCAGCCAGCTATTGCATCCAGGTTGATGTCTGGAGTCTCTGCAGTCTCATCTATCTGACAGTCTTAATTCTGACTAGTCCAGTTCATAATGACTTAATGGCTCAGCAGTTAATAGCTTACAAGACAAGAAAGGTATCTCTTCAGCATGTATCTCTAACAGATAAAACCTTTTTTGAAAATCCAAAATGCCATTATCACACCTAACAAAACAATAGTTCCTTGATATCATCTAATACCCAGTCTTTATTAAAATTTCCCTGACTTTGTTCCTTTTTTCTCACCCTCCCCTCTAATTTTGTTCTAATTAAAATTCAAACAAGGTCCATATTATATTTGATTTATACGTGCTTAATAGATAACAAGTCTTTTGTAATTTTAAACACTTCCTTTTCTCCCACCCCAATTTTTTTGCCATTTATTTTTTGAAGAAACTGGGTTGTTTTTCCTGTAGAATTGTTTCTGAATTTGGCTGTGTGCAGAAAGGAGTCACTTAACTACATTTTTTAGCCCCTGTATTTTCTGTAAATTGGCACATGAATCTTGAGAGTTGGGTAGGTATTAAATTCAGGAGCAGTTCTTTTCACAAGAGTACTTTATTGATGGTGCTGTGTCCTAAATTCATGGGTAGAAGTTGAGGGAACAGTCCAGGTGAGGGTAAAAGTTGTGGGAACAGCCCAGGTAAATTTGGTCTGCTCTTCACTTCATAAGGTGATACTGTGTACTTAAAGGAACCAGTTTATTCGCCAGCCTTCCAATCACCCACCCCCGCACAGCGCCAACTCCATTTTCTCTGCAATCCTCTGTGGATGAAGGGGAGGTCATGGATATACCTCATTTGCTTTTGCTCTGGGCCCTTTAGGGGTCCCAGCTTAAGGTAGAGAAAGTCTCCTATTAGACTCCCTACCCTGGGCAGGCTGTGGTCTTTGACCTCAGACCACTTCACTGTAC